TTGAAAGGCACCAGCCAAAGCTAAAACGGTGAAAAGGTCACCCAGAAAGAGGGGGAGGAGTAAAAAGAAGAGCTAAGGACAGACCCTCAATTAAATGTACATGTGCATTTAATGGAGCAGCAGAAGTAGGAAACAGGATAGAAAGCTGGGAGCAAATCCATATGGCATCATCATAGAAACCACCAGAGGAGAGATGTTTGCAAGAGTGAACAGCAGAAATCAAAGATTGAAAAGTCCATGTGATTGGCCAGTGAGAAGATTTGTCGTTGATTTTGGTAAAACTTCAGAAAGATGCCCTAAATAGCACTCATTGCTTTGTWTTAAGTGGTAATGGAGGGAAAAGTGGAAAAAACTGAGTTTGGACTGCTTTTCAAGGATTTGGCCAGGGAGAGGAGAAAGAGGGGATATAGGTCAAGGAAGTGTTTCTCTCTTTCTTTCTCTCTCTCTCTCTCTCCTTCCCTCCCTCCCCCTCTCTGCATGTCTGTATATAAGATAAAAAGGATCAGAGCATAATTTTATGTTGCAGGACTGTAAAGGGATGTTGAACATCYATGATTGTGTAATAATGACCAAAGGACAAGGTTCGTGGTCTAGAGGTGTTGGGGGATGGGATCAAAMATAGGATGGATGACTCCCTCACCCACTGAGACCAAAAGGAAGGAYGGGAAGATTTATAGGCCTGGACTAGAGTTGAGGGGAGTCATTATGAGAGCCTCTGTGGGAGCACAGCCATTTTCTAATGGTGGGGCAGCAGTGGGACAAGAGTGGTGGCAAAGGCATGGAGTAACTGCTGTGAAAAGGGACTTGAATAAGGACATCAAATGGCCCCATATTGGGCACAATGTTGAAAAACTTGGGAGGCAGGAATGCTGGACTGACTTTCATGTGAGTCTCTGACCACTCCTTCACCATGTTCTTCAAAAGATCCTCTCATCCTTGTCATAAGGAGCTTATCAAAACTCCAGAAGCCTTAATGGACACAGAAACACAAAAAGGTCCTGCCTTTTCTTAGGCAAGAATGCTGGTGGGAGCAGCTGCAATTGAAATATACTCCTAGTTGCAAGCAGGGCTGGGAGGAGACCAGGTGCAGGCAGCTAATTACTGGAGGAAAAGTGACCTCTGGTTGTTGTAAGAGACGGAGGGCAGGGGGACACATTGGTCTGATCCACAGAGCTCTCTGGTTGTTTGTAGTTAGTTAATTGTAAACACCCAAGGAATAAACAACCCAAGAAGTCATTTTGATTTATATGACAGAAAAAATAAACAAGCCAACAAAACAATTCTAGATCTAGGGAACAGAGGCCTCCCATAAGCTGGAGAGAGCGCCTTTCACTTCATTACTGGTACTAAATTAGACACCAAACCCATAGCTTTTTTGGACATAGCCCAGATAGTCTTGAAAAAGGGTGCGGGCAAAATGCTGTACCTAAGACAGCAAACTTTCCTCAAAGGCCTTGCAGTCCCTTGTGGATAGCTATTCAAGAGAAAAGAAAATACCCAAACTTTTTAGTGACCAYCACTTGCTAATTCTAAGGAATGCTAACTGGGACCTAAAATGTCACATTTTGCCATCAAGATTTTGAGCTTGTAGGGGCTAGTTTATAGGGATTGGGTAGTGAGGGTATAAATTCATCCTGTGGTACTGGACCCTGGCTGCCAAGCCAATAGCTGGAATAAATAAATGTAGCAACTGGCTGAATTCCTACATTGGCACACTTGTAGAGTAAGGGCTGTTCTGAAAGGAAGTATCAACTGGGGTGCCAGAACCATACATCAAAAGCAATGCCACATCCCTAGAGAACTGTATAAGCAAGTGCCACCACCAGAGGAAAGATGTTACTATGATGGTTCCCACCTCATTGCCATCCACTTACTTCACTGTAAACTCAGWCAAGCTGTGGTTCCAATTCTAGCCACTTTTCAAATGGGTACGCTTCTTCTTAATGAAGCAGCTTTAAACAGCTCCTGGTACTTGGTTTGCAATTGTTGATCTGGGATTTAGTTTCATCATATCTTTTTAAAAATCTGTCTCTTTTAAAAATATTATGACCTGTAAACTAAAGTTCTCCAAAGAAGCCACATCTCTATATTCAAGAGACTGCAGACTGTTCAGTGTTGGTTAAAATATGTAATTATAGGGCTGGGGATGTGGCTCAAGCTTGCCTGGCATGYGTGCGGCCCGSGTTCSATCCTCAGCACCACATACAAACAAAGATGCTGTGTCCGCCAAAAACTAAAAAATAAATATTAAAAAAATTCTCTCTTTAAAAAATAAAATATGTAATTATAGAAAGATGGATCAAGAGCCATCCTTATGTTGGGTTATCTTTAGTTTCTTTTAATTTCTAGGTAAAATGCTTGGAGTATAAGTATATTAAGTTTGGTGGAGTTCAAGCCTCCACTGATCCTAAAGCTAAGAATGTGATACATCTGAATTCTGTAAAAGATTTGCTAGCCTTGTTAAACATCTGAATCCTATAGGTTTCCCTACCTCTTTTAGTTGATGACCCCAACTACTTTCTCTTGTGAGTACAAAAGCTCATTTAACTTATTCTACAGAGAAAACATGTTGTTCTGGTAACTTGAATTTGTGTTCCCTTGTGATGATCTCTCATATTTGGCTTAGAATAAGCCATTTTAAAAAATTTCCTTAAGGCAGTTATTTTCTGTCAACACAATRATAACTTTTTGATTCAAAATTTTTGTGTTTATTGTCTGATGTTTTTATTGTCTAATGTTTTTATTGTCTATTGTCTGTTCTTATATCCCTATTCATGTATGTATATTTAACTTGGGGATCACAATTACACCTTTCTCAGTTATTGGGAAAAAACTTATATAATACATAAAAATATATCTATATCTCTTACCTTTTATCTCAGGTAATTGGGGATAAAAATCTGGGATATCTTTTTTTCAATTCATTGTTCATTTATCAATAGTCATTCTCAAGTCATTCAGTGAGATAAATTTTCTGAAACTTGGCATGACTGAAAATGGTTCTACTTTTCCCCCCACTTTAATGCTGATTTGACTGGGTTAAGGGTTCCAGGTTTAGCTTTGAAGGTACTGCTCCCTTGAAAAATCCAATGGCAATTTATTTTCCACTGCTTTCTAGATAACCTATTTCTGTGTAAAAAAAAAAAAAAATCTGTTGATTCTCTTTCTCCTAGGCTTAGTCTAAAATGGGATCTTTGAAAAGTAGATATTGTAAGGACTGAGTTGGCCCTTAAAATCTGAAGATGTGTTTCTGTTCAAATCTGGGACATCTCCTTTTTAACTCCACAATGCTCACTACCATTCTTTCCCCCTCATTTTTAAATTGGTGCATTATAATTATACATCATAGCATCCCCATTCTGTTCTTGTTTGTGTAACTTACGTCATTCAAATGTTGCAATGGCTGGGCCCATCTTCAAAATCTTATAATTTTTCCCTGTTTCTTAATTTGCTAATTAGTCCTGTAACTCTGCTATAAACCAGTTATAAATCTTGTTTATTTCCTGTCTTTCAGGGATCCTCAATATTCCTGGTTCGTTAACTGCATATTTAGGCATCGTGGGCTTTAAAAACTGTGTATGTCATGGGGTTAGGCAGAACGTGTGTGTTCAGGTCTCTTGGGTTTAACTTGTTTCTTTGAACATTTTAAGGAAAAGTCTTGATGCCTCTCTATAAGCTGTGTTCTGGTCTTCATGGATCTTATAACTCTTGGCTTATTCCGCAGATAACAACAAACCGTCCAAATATATTCTTTTCTTCAGTCTCTCCATTCTAATCTCCAGTGGCACCTGGAGTGTTCACTCACTTCTCTCTCCAAGGATCTAAAGTCGCTTCTTGGAGCTCCGCAGTAATTCTCAGCCAAGAACAAGAACTGTCCAATTAAACCTGGGCCTACTGCAGGGGAATCTCCGCAGCTCAGCCCTGGGTATCCCTCGTTCCACTAATAACTCTACAGGTGCGCCTGAGGCGGACCCCGGTTAAGAACCACGCGGCCTCTCCCCGCCTGCCYTCGGGGCTGCTCCGCCCCGCACGGGACGTGCTTAAAGAGGTCCACGCGCCGCGAACCCGCTTCGTGTCTTCGAACCGCGTCGGAGGAGGTAGGCGCGGGCGATCCCGCAAGGCCACCCAGGCCGCCTTGGAGTGCGGCCAGCAGCCCCGCACCCGGGATAGGCCCCAGGCCGGGCCCGGAGTGGCGGTCCTGTGGGGGCCGTCCCGCCCAACCGTCCCACCCGCCGCGCGCCCTCGGGCTGGAACGCKGCGCGCCCGGCCGCCCCCGCCCCGTCGCGCAGGCGCGGTTACCCCCGCGGCCCGCCGGCGAGCGCCTTCGACTCCCGCAGCCGCAACGGCAGCGCCGGCCACAGTGGGGCACCATCTGCCGCTCCGCGTCGCGGAAAGCCGTCGGGCAGGTGGAAAGTCGACACCGTAGTCCCGCTAGCGGCAGTGAGGGACGTTGGGGCAGGGAAGGGACCCGCCGTCGCCGCCGCCCGGGCGGAGAGGGAGGAGGCGGGCGGAGATAGGTCGTTGGCTTGAGGTAAGAGGAAGCGGGAGCTTTCCCGGAGTTGCCTCCGGAGGGACGGAGTGTGTGGTGCGCACGTCTCCAGGTGTGGTCTCTGGCGCGTCGAGGACCGAACTGCGCGTGCCCAGTCCCCGGCCCCGGTTCCAACAGTCCTGAGTCCGCCTGGTACGAGGTGTGCAGCGGCGGACGACACCCCCGGAACCCGAGTTGGCGCTTCGGCAAACCACGACCGAGCCGGGCTGCGACTTCTCGCACTGGCCCCTGGCGGTGGCGCCTTGATTCCCACGTAGGTTCTTCAGCACAGCTTGAGTTTTCAGGGTTTGAATTGGGTGTGGAGTTTGTGGTGCACGAGCCCAGAACACCCTCAACTCGCATCTCAGTAGTTTATATCCCACTAGTAGTCGATGATGATGATGATGATAATAATAAAATTTTCATGGGTTTGCCTGTTTTTCCTCATAAGCAGCTTTCTGTCTTAAATTCTACAGGGTACRATGTCGGAACAAGAACGTATACAAGAATGCCTCAGGAAAGAAATAAGGTCACTTCTTATTTCCACCAAAGATGGTTTGACTCCACAGCAGTTGGAAAAAGAGTACCTTTTGATGGTTGGCAACCACTTACCGCTCCGAATCCTTGGGTATCGGTCCACTATGGAGCTGGTGCTGGACATGCCTGATGTGGTTAGTGTCTGTCCCTGCGGGGATGGTACAGTAATACTGAAAGGTAGGTTTAAGATTTTTGGAAATTTGTAAACTTTGTAATTAAAAATGACCACTTAGTATAGAATTGCTCTACATCTGCAGTTATCCAGCGTCCCAGGCATTGGATCTGAATTTCGGGTGGAATAGCGGGGGAGGAATCACAGGTGCCTTTGAGACAAAGTCAGAACTTGATCAGAATTAAGAAACTGTCCCCAGGAAAATGGTGCTTTCACAAAACCCACAGTTTTGCATGAGTTAAAGTTGTTGCACCTGAAGTTAGGAGAAACATAACCATGGGAACTTCTAATTACAAAAACTTATTTTAACTTCCATGAGGCACACAAAGCATCATTATAAGGAACTTGGCTCTTCATTCCAAGATTTTCAAATCTTCCAGGGGTCAATCAGCAATAATGATGATAGATTGGGTTTTCATTCCRTCCTCCAATAGAGGAACTAACAAGCTGTTCCCCAGAATGCAAGAAATGGAAGAACCACAGGCTTCTTTCCTGTTTATTGTGCTCTACCTGGATAAACAGCTGCTTGGAGCCCTCAGAGTTGTTTACATAAGCAAAAAAAAAAAAAAAAAGATAAAGGGCATACTTTAGGTTTTTTTTTTTTTTTAATCTACACCATGATTTCTTTTTCCCATATTTCCCTAGCCATTCCAGATGAATCTACCAAAGGAATTGCAAGTTTAGTTGCAAAGCAGAGGAGCAGCCATAAGGTTCGAAGCTCCATGCCAAAGGGAAGGGCTACTGTTTGCTCTGGGACAAGCTCTGGTCGAGTGCCTTACCGAGGAAGGGTGACCCCTATTCTTCCAGCTGTTGTGAAGAGTGAGCTGAAAGACCTCTTGGCGTTGTCTCCTGTTCTCCTTTCTGATTTTGAAAAGGCATTTGCCAAGCGATTTGGACGATCGTTTCAGTATGTGCAATATGGATTCCTCTCAATGTTCGAAGTGCTGAATGCAGCTTCAGATGTCATTTCTGTAGAGCAGACTAGAGCAGGTTCTTTGTTGAAGCTAAAGAAAAGCATGTCTGTGGAAAAGCAGAGAGGATGGCCGGCAGGTAAGCATGTTAGCATACATAATTGTATTGTGGATGAGCAAATGTTGGAGCAATCCTTCCATACACAGATGGGTAATTGCTAAGCTCCATGAGTATATCAAAGTTGAAATCGGGCCCTGCCACTTGCAAACTGAGTGCGGGGCAAGTTACTTACTCTGTCTAAACTCTAGTTTCCTCACCCTTAAAATAGAAATAATAATACTTGCCACTTGGAGTTATGCTGAAGACCTTACATGTCTGTAAAGAGCCTAGCATTTAGTAAGCTTGTAATAAGTTTTAGCTGAAGGCTCAAGACTAACGTGATTATTCATATAATATCTCCCTAAACCTGGACAGTATGGAATGTATCCACTGAGTGGAGGGGCAACCTGTTTTGGAGAATTCTATGCCTGTCCCAGTGTCCCCCTCCTAAAGTTTGCATTTAAATTAGTGTGGGTGAAACTGAGAATGTCATGAGTTTATGAAGCATCATTTAAATGGTGGTGGATAGTAGTTTGAATATATGAGGATGTGCTGTGGTCAGGGAAAGTTCTGAAGGCTACTGAGTGTTTCAGGTCTAGCCCTCAACCTTAGTGTTCTTGAGGCGTTCAGACTTAGGGAAATTAGATTGAGGTGTATAAACATAGGAGATGAGGTTACACTGGATAAAGCAGTTTACCAATTTATTGCATAGTGGGGATGGATAGCCTTTCCTGGGATTGGATTGTCACGTTCTCCATCTATGGTCCATTTTTCCTTTCAGGATATCTTGGAAGTAATTGGTTTATTTGATGAAGTTGATCTTGGGGTCAAGAAAGAGCTAGGCTGTGGTGATTTCCAGTAATATATCTTTCATATTGTACAGCAGAATATACTTCCCTGGTGGTATTCCTCCTTCCTATAAATATTGAAGAAAAAGCTTATGCTCTAGAATGCTATTCTTTCCTCTATGGCTTTTCCTCTCCTCTTCCCATACTCTGGCTACCCAGTTTGAATCTTAGTTCTAAGCAAACTCCTTAATTGGAGATTTTTTTGGTCTAACAAGATACAGCTTTTTAGGTTTTTCTCTATCAAATCCTGCTTCTCTATTATATTCAGGTGATCTTAAGTGGTTTTTGTCCCAACCTTTTAGGTAATGTCCTTATGATTTCCTGTTTTTTTTTCCTATTGATTACTAATTACTTATTGTAGGTAAGTTTTATTGGCTTACTATAAAAATGTAGGCTTTCCTTATTTTTGCTTTAAGCTGAGGGCAGTTAACTCACAGTAATTTTTAATATATACACACCAGAAATTGCTAGTGACAATGTTTTTTTCTTCTGTTATTCACAAAAGGAAAAATTTTTACCCAGCCATTTAGAATGAAACAACATGGGTCATATTCTACAGGCTGCGTGGTGGCAAAGCCACGCTTTTCACAACACACTTCAAATATGGAACCACCAAAGCAAATACTGAACATGGACAAGACTTCCACATTCAATGCAGTGGAGACTTCAAGGCTGAATCAAACTGAAAAATTAAACCAGGTGAGATATCTGAGTTTGGAGACAGCAATACACAGAAAATGTGATGAAAAAGCTGACTTTTAAAAATTGAAGTCATTCACTTATTTTAATTTTCACTGTTTCCTATGGTTCTGTTAATTTAGTAAGAAGTGAGAGGTGGCAGTGAGAAAAGAGTAATAGGTTTGTTAATTCTGGTTTTTACTGTTTTCTGCAGTTGACCATTATATATATATATATATATAAAATTATATATATATATATATATATATATATAAAATTATATATATATATAAAATTATATACATATGTTTTGGAACTTTGTTCTGGTCCACATAGATACATATCTTTTTGCCAGTACTGTACTGAATTGATTACTGTAGGCTTATAATATCCTGAAATAATGTTTGAGTCCTACAACTTTATTCCTCTTCAAAATTGCTTTGACTATTCTGTATTCTCGTATACTTTTAATTTGATATAAATTGGCTTGTCATTTTTTACCAAAAATAGTCCTGTTAGAATTACACTAGAGACAAATTTGGGGGAAAGTGACATCTTTATAACATTGAATCTACTGATTTAAAAGTATGGTGTATCCCATAATTTATTTAGGTCTTTAAATTCTCTCAGCAAATTTTATAGTACGCAGTGCACAAGGCTTGCATATATTTTATTAAGCTTATCTTTAATATTTTGGGGGGGATTGAACTCGGGGACACTCGACCACTAAGCCACATCCCCAAGCTCTATTTTGTATTTTTATTTAGAGACAGGGTCTCATTGAATTGCTTAGTGCCTTGCTTTTGCTGAGGCTGGCTTTGAACTTGTGATCCTCCTGCCTCAGCCTCCCAAGATACTGGGATTATAGGCGTATACCACAGTGTCCGGCAATTTTTTGTATTTTTTATGCAAGCATGAGTGGTATTTTCAAATTAATCATTGCTAACATGTAGAAAATCAATTGTATCTTTTTAGTATATTGACCTTGTATTCTGTGATTTTTTTTTTAAATCAGTTACTTGTTAAACTCATTTTGATTGTTCAAATCATTTTAGTAGATATTTTGTAGAGTGGGGATTTTCTTCACAGATTATCATGTCATCTGGGAGGAAGGATAGTTTTTCTTTTCTTCCTTTTTCTCCTTAAGCCAGCCTCTCTTATGTATATGAATAGAACTGATRGTAGTGGAAATTCATGCTTTGTTCCTACCTGTAAGGGAAAAGTATTTAGTCTTTCATCATTAACTATGATGTAAATTGTAGTTTAAAAAAATAAATTCTCCATTGAGTTGAAGAAATTCTCTCCTATTGCTTGTTCCCGGTTTCTGAGAATTTTTTCATAACTGTATGTCAAATCTTTTCATGAGTTACTGAGGGAAGAGCATCAAGATATTTAAATACAATTGTGGATTTGTTTTCCCTCTTAGTTGCATGCACATTTAGGATTGCTATGTGTTCCTCATGAATTGCCCTATTTGTTGTGCTGTGATTGACTTCTGCTCATTAACCTTGTATCCTACAACTCAGCTGTAATTGTTTATTAGACCCAGACAGGATTTTTATTCTTTTAGATTGTTCACAAACAACAGGATCACTTACATAGACAAAGACTATTTTATTCCTTCCTGGTCTATATGCTTTCTATTTTCTTGTCTTGTTGGGACTTGTGACAGGATGTTGAAGCAGTGGTGAGAGAGGGGATATCCTTGCCTTGATCCTAATTATTTTTTATGGTTCCACTCTATCTTTGGTATTTATTAGCTATGCCTCCTCTCTATTTTTAGTGAATGGCTTAGGATTTTCAGCATACATTATTTTTTTTTAAGACAGAGGATTTTTAAATTTTTTTTGTTTTTCGGTGGACACAACATCTTTATTTTTATGTGGTGTTGAGGATTGAACCCAGCGCCCCATGCTTGCCAGGCGAGCGAGCTACCGCTTGAGCCACATCCCCAGCCCCATTATTTTTAATTTATACATTTGACCCTAAATAATATACCAGTTCATACATAATGTTAAGTGCCTTAGAACAATAAATACACATTCCTTCCATTCTTTGAGCTATTGTTGTGGCATTTATCTCATGATATAAACCTTAATATGTTAGTTTTGGCTCAAAACATTTTTATTTTATTCTTGCAGTGCTGGGGATTGAACCCAGAGGTAATCTACCACCAAGCTACATCCCCAGCCCTTTTAAAATTTGTTTTATTTTGAGGAAGGGTATTATTGTCCTCAAACTTGCTGTCCTCTTGGCTTCAGTCTCCCATGTAGCTGGGATTACAGGCATGCACCACCATGCCTACCTAAAAATATTATAGCTAAGAAATATTTACCCACATTTATTTTTGATGCTTTTCAGTCCTTTGTGTAGATTTTCCCCTAGTATAATTTTCTTTCTGCCTGGAAAATCAATATGTTCTGTAAGACAAATGTGTTGGGAGTGGATATTCTTAGCTTTTGTTCATCTGAAAAAGCCTTTGTTGTTATTTTTGAAATATAATATTGCTGGGTGTAAAACTTTAGGTTGATAGGAGCCTCCCCCGCCCCCACCCTGCCACTTGCCCTTCAGTACTTTAGAGATGTTATTTTATTGTCTGCATAGTTTCTGACAATTCTATAGTCTTATTAATCGTCTGTGAATGTTATTTTCAAGATTTTTTCTTGTTTTCTACAATTTGATTTTAGTGTCCCTTGGTATTATTTTATTTGTTTTGTGTGGAATTCATTGAGCTTCATGTATCATTTAGCTTCTTGTATGTGCATTTATAATTTTCATTAAATCTGGAAAATTTTGTCCTTAACTATTTTTCTTTCCTTCCATCTTCTCAGGATTACTATTGTACCTATTTTAGAGTGCTTGTAATCTTCTTACAGGTCACTGGGTCTCTTTTCTTTATTTTTTTCCCTCTTTTTTGTCTCTCTTCTTTCATTGTGTGCTTCATTTTGGATATTTTCTATTGTTGTCTTCAAATTAATTGATCTGCAGTTTTTTACTGGATGCCAGACATTGTGAAGTTGTAATTGCTTTACATAGAAGTTCCTTTGACTCAATTTGGTGATTTTTGAGTCTTTAAAATTTTGGGGGGGAGTGGGGGATCCTTACTGTGTTGGCCAAGCTAGTCTCCAACTCCTGGACTCAAGGGACTTCTGCCTCACCCTTCCAGCTTCTGAGACTACAGGTATGTGTCACCATGCCTGACCTACTTTTAACTTTGTTAGGGCTTCAGCTCTGGACCAAATCATGTTCCCCCAAAATTCATACATTGAAGCCCTAACTTCCTAAATATGATGGTATTTGGAAAGGAGGCCTTTGGCAGTAATTAGGGTTCAATAAGATCACAAAGGTGGCTTCCTCATGGGGGAATTAGTACCCTTTTAAGAAAGGAGAGCAAACTGGGTGCTCACCTATGATCCCAGTGACTCAAGAGGCTGAGGCAGGAGGATTGCTTTACCAACTTAGCAAAGACCTTAGCAACTTAGTGAGATCCTGTCTCTGGGGATGTGGCTTAGGGTAAATTACTCTAGATTTAATCCCCAGAACCAAAAACAAATAAACAAACAAAAAACAACCCAGAGAGCTTTTGCTCACTCTTCATGTGGACACACAGTGAGAAGCTGGCCAGCTGTGAGCCAGAGAACCTTACCAAGAATCGGACTGTGCCTTGATCATAGACTTCTAGCCTCCAGAACTGTGAGGGGATGATTTACTATTAAAGCCACCCTGTCTATGGTAACTTTTCTTGCGGGGGGCGGCGGCGGGACGGGACAGAGGGCAGCGTGAGCAGTGGGCCCAGAACAGCCTTCAGTCTAAGGGATAGTTTGGTCCCACCGCTGAGGCTTTTCTTTGTGAGCATTTACCTCTGTTGTCGGGTGGGAACAGTGACTGTTCCAGCCCTATGTGAACTTAATGCTATTTGTTGTATTTCTTCAGCCTCAGAGAATGTTCCTCACTTGCACAGATCAATACTCATCAGAAACCTGGGGGGAATCTGTCTGCAGATTTTCAGCGCTATTCCTCTCTGTGCTAATCTTTACTACTGAGCAAAGTTTAGCATCCTTGTTGTCCCCACACTTCAATATCTCTCTTCAGTTCACCTGGACCCCCAGGCACTGGGTTTGATCCTCAGCACCGCATAAGAGTAAATTAATAAAGGTATTGTGTCCATCTACAACTAAAAAAAATTTAAAAAAACAAGCAGCCTAAAAAAATTACTCATAGTTGTACTACCAAATGTAATGTTTATTTCTTTGATAGTGATTTCCTCATTTTTAACATTTTTCTCTTGACATTTCTTATGCCAGATAGGCCTGAGACCAACCTGTTTATCTATATTTATACGTAAACTGACTAGACTATATCCTAATCAAATCATGTCTTTATCTTTTGACATTCAGAATAGATAACCATAAACCATCTGTTGGTCTCTTTTTGGTCAATTCCAATAAAGAAAATTTTTATTTTTAAAAATAGTTTTTGCAGGGGCTGTGGCTGTGGCTCAGTGATAGAGTACTCGCCTAGCACATTCGAGGCCCTGGGTTCTATCCTCAGCACCTCATAAAAATAAACAAACAAAATAAAGGTATTGTGTACAACTAAAAAAAATTTTAAAAAAATGGCTTTTGCCAAACTGACATCCAGAAAAGTATTAATACACCCTTCAAAAAAATTAGTGTCTATTTCTCCATGCCTTCTGGTTATATAATTCTTAGGATTCTATATGGTTATTAAAAATTCAAATATTTTTATAGTATTAGCTGTAGATGGACTCAATACCTTTATTTATTTATATTTATGTGGTGCTGAGGATCAAACCCTGTACCTCACACATGGTAAGTGAATGTTCTACCACTGAGCCATAACCCCAGCCACCAAAATGTTAATTCTTGAAAGATAGTTGGGCACAAAAATATTTTCTCTAATCAAGAAGCTAAATATAGAGGCTGGGGTTGTGGCTCAGTGGCAGAGTGCTTGCCTTACATGTGTGAGGCATTGGGTTTGATCTTTAGCACCACAAGACA